ACAGTACTCGTATATTTTCCTAGGTATATTGGAGTGCCGGGAAATAACGTTTGCACTGCGAGGCAGCTCGGTGTGCGCGGTCTATGTCGTCTTGGTAGCCACACACGCAACTGCTCTGTGCTTGTCCGTACGCTTAGCCCGACGCAATCCACGCAATCTTACATCTGTGCTCCTGTAAACAATTCGAGAGGTCGTCGGCCCGTCAAGTGCCCGCTTCTGGGAAGATCAACACTCGTCACCGACTTTCCCACTCGAAGCCCAACAACAAGCAACGCCTCATTGACAGCTCTTGTGTCATGGCTTGTCTGTCAACAAGGGCTTATTATTGTGTATTGGTTTTTTGCCCGACGGTGACCCTCTACCCGTCCAGCCTGGCACCTCAGTCCCGCATTATTGTTACCGCCGACAGCGACATAACAGACTAAGGAATGAACAAATACAATACCCAGCATATCGCAACCATGCGATCAAGGTCAACCATGACAGTGCTGCCTTTGGAGTAATCTTTCTTGTCTCTACAGATAAATCGCTCATTGCCTCGTCTTGGCCTTCTCAACTCGAAACTGTCTTGACGCGGCGCCTCGCGTTTCGAGGCGTCGCCAGTGACCCGAAACAGAAACGGCGTGAATGTGACGGGAAAATGCATCCGACTTCACATAAGCACGAAGCCTACTCCGTACATGAAGTCATTACACAAACAGAATCCAAGGTGATGGACGCGATTCTTGGGAAAATGGCTTTCTGGTTCTTGCCGATCAATAAATGTTTATTGGGCAGACGTCCCATCACAACATCAAGCCTTCATGTGAAAGACTATTGAAGGAATTCCCCGCGTGTCAACCTTGCCCCTGTGTCCTCAGAGCGGCCCGAGGCACCCTCGTCCGCACCAAACTCAAAAAGATTCGCCAGTCGTGGCCGTCGAGGTCCGGAACCGGTGGTCAGGCACATCCGTTTGTGATCAATACTCCTAGGAAAGCGGGCAAGGGCAATTCAGTCGTACTTCATAAACCACATGGGTGAAACCGAAAGCGACATCAGATCATTACTGCGTCAAGAGAAAGAATAGACCCGCATCATCATGCCATGTAGAAAGACCAGACCGTTTCCCTCCGCCCCTCGTACCTAGAGAGGAATCGCATCGTCGATTCGGGCCCGGCTAGCTCGCTGGATCTGGTTCGTCGTGAGCGACTCGCACACGACGGCGCCCGGTTCAACTGTGGCACCTTCTTCGATCCTCACACCTGGATAGATGACAGCTCTGGCGCCGATGATCACATTGGCAGCTATAAAGACGTCACCAGCGCTCCAGTGGGGACCGCGGGTGCCTTTCCGGTGCACCAGATCTTTCCCGTAGTCTGTGGTCAAGATGGTGACGAAGGGAGCAATGATAGTTCGAGGTCCGATTTCAATCGTGCCAGAATCGTCGAAATAACATCCCTTGCCGATATAGACGTCCTCTTGAACCTTGAGGTTGTACCCGTACGTGCATGTGAACGGCGCCTCGATCTTGACGTTTGGGCCGATATGGCCCTTGCTGTGGTTGTGAGACGGGAGTCTGTGGGTAGTGTCTTGACTTGGATCAATGACCTTGACAAAGAGATTGCGCACTTCTTGCTCGCCAAGTCCACTGTCCAGCTTACAAGCTGCATTGTACCGTTCGACAGCTCGGTCGCACCGTTGGCGCTCGTAAAGCAAGGTCGCGTCGAAGTAGTTATAATGGACGGACCTCAACATCTTAGATTTCTCGACGTCCTCTTGACTCGAGACTTTGAAGCTCGACCTCGGGTGATCGAAGCCAGAAGATGACATCCGGGTATGAATTGGTGTCGTCGAAGGGCCTGCGGATGGAGGGTGTGTAGGTGTATAGCCCCGCTGATTCCACTGGCTTGGTTGCTGTAGCGGTGGAGGAGCCGGCGGCGGATGACTGGGGCCCTGTGTCGGCGATGCGGTATGCTGAGGAGGATACTGTATTGGCACAGAAGTCTGTCCCTGATGGGAGGGCGGAGGGGGTTGAGGGTAAGGTGTACCTTGAGGTGGCGGTCGAGACATAGCTTGAGGTCGTGCACTCAAAGGTTGCTCCGATCTATTGGCATCAGACAAAGCGGGGAGATGGTCAGAGCTATAAGAGCTTTGGGTGTGTTGTTGTGGCCGTTGTGGTTGACCAGGATATTGCAGTCGGTTTGGAGGCCCGTTTCGTGGTGGGCTTGACCCATACGATGCTGGACGCGATCCGTCATTTTCGCTCATGGGTGCCGGTCTGGCCTGAACGCCATCATGATGAACTGGTGGGCGACTGGCGTGGAGGGCGTCCATGTGCGGCCCAGTGTAAGGCGAGGACTCGGACACGTCACCCTGATCATCTTTGGACTGTAGCGGCACAGGGGTTCTGACCGGAGTGGGCTGGGTCGGATCGACCCCCTTAGTGGAAATATAGCCCTTACATTCAAAGCCACCTCGCAGACAGTTATCGCCTGTCAAAAAAAAAACATTAGCAATCGGAGTACAGCAATTTCAACGCGAAGGTAGCGAAACTCACAGCGTGGACGGGCTTCATCACATTTCTTCTTCCGCGTGCGGCAGGTCAGACAACCTGTCTTCGTCCTGTTGCTGAAGTTCCGTTTCCGTTTCAGGGCGACCGTTGTGGGGGGCGTTATAGCTTCGTGACCATATTGGTCACTTGCCGCCTGTCCGTTTGTTGTGGGTTGAGACTCCCACGACCGAGACGGTGCTTCGGACACGCTTGATTCCCGCTGCAAAACTTCCGCCATCTGCGCCTCCGAAGTACTGGGCCTGACAACGTTTGCCGGTGGATGTGACTGGACAGGCCCCTCGGAGTGCCACGTATGTCCATGGTGCTGCTCGGTGCCATTTTGATAGTAGGGTGTCCCGTTGTGACTCCCGCTCCCAAGAACATGCAGTGCACGATTGGCCATGTGTTGCGGTTCTGGTCTTATGGACGGGCTGTACTCGTGTGGGCGCTGCTCACTATACGGCAGAGAATCTTCCAAGTCCGATCGCTTTCGCTTGTGGCCCGCGTGTTCCTGGCCATTTGGTTGTGGATACATGCCGGCGTGACCTTGGGAAGGACGATCGCTGTCCCTCCGAGATTGTTCTCGGGGGGATGACATTCTGCTGGAGACACTATTCTCTAAGGCTTCGTCAGTCGGGGTGTATCTCGCTGGGGGACGTGGTGACGGACCGTTATCCGACGCGGCCTTGACTGCGACAAACCGTCGTGAGCCAGCATCCGGGCTTGAAGTTATGTCATATTCCGAACTGTTGTGACTGACCGGAGGGGTGAGCACCATGCTGGGCAGACCACTCAGTTCGATTCTTCACCAGCGGGCTCAGCCAAACGGCGCGGTATAAGTGCTCCTGGACCACCTCGATCCCCCTTTTGCCGTTCGACTCCTGAAGAAACCCACGGAAGGGGATCAGATGGGCAAATGAGTCTCCCACCAAAGTGGGCGCTTCGGCGGGCTACCCCTTCTGCAGGAGCAGGGTGACTGACGTCTTCCCAGCCTGGATTCGCCAGATCCTGTTTGAGAGTCTGGAGCCTGCAAGCGGGCGATGCGCGCGGTTGAAAGGTAGAGATCTGAGTGGGCGCTTATGACCCGTCACAGCCTGGAGGGGATAAGTAGGCGCCCGGGACTGCTCACGAGGCTGATATGGAAGAACGCCGGACGTGGGTGGCACTCCTCAGCGAGATGGAAAGTCCGACGAAACCGCGAAGGACTTTTCGTACGAACAGGCAGAACGGTCAGTATTGAGCCCTCAAGGCCCAAAGTTGCAGTGTCGCCCACTACAAGAGGGGGATTCAATGGTGTGAAGTAAGCGAAAGCCGCGAGAAGCGCAGGCGGCGGGCGGCAGAGAGAAGATAAAGTGGAAGCTGATTGCTTGACTCTGCGTTAGTCAGCGATTTAGGCCTGAAGAGCCGCCCTTGGTGTGATTTTGGCCGCTTCCTCCAGTCTCACACAGGAGTTGAAGGAGGACGACGAGATCGAGGAGGAAGATCTCAGATGTAAATGATGCACCAGCAGACCACCCTTAGCCCGGTCTCAAGCTACATGCAGTCGCAGCAGGGAGAGACAGGAGGGGAGAGAAGCATAAGCCTGCCCTCCCACTACCATTCATTGATGCTGGTGAGGCAGCTGGCTACGGGGGTCTTCCAAAGCCACTGGCACGGAACCGCCAGATACCCCCCGGCGCTTGGAAAAAGACGCTTGCCGCTAGCCGCATCGCTCTAAGCCCATCTGTGGGCGCTGATTGGCGCCCATGCTGGAATTACCTCGAGTCTTCGGCTGCGCCAGGGGCCGCCGGGCCACCGGATCCAAGTCCACAGCGCGCGGCAGTTGGGTCTTCAGACTCGTTCAGAAAGGACTTTACAGACACCAAATCGTGGTCGTTGTCCACCGCTTATGCTAATCGTCGCGGAGCCTCTCCATCCTGTTGCTGAGAGCTGCCGCCACCATCGCGGCAGCAACTCATTCAGCATTTCCCACGTTCTCGCCACCTGGATGCCACGAAGAGCTGTGGATGTCCTTTGTCCCGGCCTTGCCTCCGAGCCGCACGTCGGTCACCGCAGACACACGTCCCAAACAGGCCTCAGGCAGCTGTTTGACTCTTGTGATGGAGGACTATCAGGGGCTACGATTGGGCGCTTGTTGTCGAATGTGGTGTCGAGTTGCGGTTGCCAGCAAGCCGCGCTGTCAAAAATGCCGCCTGATCCCTGCACAATCACGCCGGACGCCGCGCCGCGCCTCGCCATTGGATGCGGCTGTGTGACAACGGATTCTGCGCGCGTCTGGCCCCTCACTTGCAGCTTGAAACCCATCATAGATTACGAGGCGCCTACGTTGGTCTACCGCCCAGCCGCGATGTGCATGAACGAGCGGCCGCTTGACGAGGAGGAAGGGACGAGAGTAAGAAAGAATTGAGCCATGGTGTCTAAAATGTAGGCTACTTTCCACGGGGCAGCCTCCATATCCAAGAGTCCTCTCTTAGTCGGTGTCGATCCAACGTCTCCAAACGTCGCCATATCCAACAGCGAAGTCGCGGATGCGCGTGTGTGCGCTGATGGCAGGGATGAGGCTTTCGATATCCTGAAAATCCGCCACCACTGTCAAGGTGGGTCTACCGTGTGCACATTGGAAAGGGAAACTGCAATGAGCAAGCTTTCGGACTAGCTCGCGGCTTTGGTCAGGTTCCAAAACATCATTAAACATGATGGCAGTGCGGCACGATCGAGATTTGAGCATTTCGATCATGCCCTGCGGGCAACGTGCGAGGTCTGACCACCAGTTCTGCCCAGTTTGATCGACGAGGTGGGCTGCAGAGGAATGAAGGCGAACTCGGTCTGACCATATCTCTCGTCTCATCAGATCGATGAGGAGTTTTGGGTCCACTCGACAACGTTCCGCAAGCAGACTCGGCAGTGCAGTAACCTCGACTATCCACACTGAACGCTTGCAGGTGTCTGTCAAGTCTCGCGGAACTTTATTGAGGTTGTAGCTGAGGCACCACTTCTGGAAATGGGCTTTCTGCTCCTCCAGGAGCCGTACCTCAGTTTCGTTGACTTCAAAGCTCAGTGGCCTGGACAGTGTAGTACAAGTTCGCCTGCAGAACTCTTGGCACAACTGCTCGAATTTTATCCTCTCATCGGCCGCATGTTGGTCGATAAGAATGAGAAGGCTGCTCTCAGAACCTTCAGTGTGCTTGGTGGGAGCCGAGACGGCAGCGAGCACAAATTTCTGGTCGACCTGTTGGATCACCCTTGCCGCAGAAAGCGCGCGCCTCGTCACAGCCTGAGAAGAGGGAATGGCGATGGTTGCAGGTCCAGGGCCAAGCTGTTCTCCTCTCAGAGCTGGACACTCCTCACGTGCGATGCTTGTAATAGGTGCCTCGGGGCGCTGTGCACCAGCTGTCCTAGAGTATTTCTGGAGGGTCTCAGCTGGCGGCTTTGGTTGAGGCATCGTACGACCGGATCGTGGATTTGGGAACTTCCGAGCTCGGCTCGAATGTCCGTAACATTCCTCCAAACGACCGTCACCCTGCGATCCTGCTGCAGGCGCGATTGCTCCAGTGCGCGGATTGAGATGAATCATCTGACCGTTGCGTGGATTCGTCCACACGAGGTCGGTGGTACTGTCGGCCCCCTCAGCATTCGCAACCTGTGTATTATGCAGTCCTATGCCCGCTTCGCTCTCTTGACAACGAGTATCGACAGGGGAGCGATCCGCTTCTAGAATATCTGCAGGTGGTGGGACGCCTTCCACCGTCCCGTCAAGGCCTAAGCCATAGCGGAAATTCTCCCCTGATGGCCACGCACTCTTCACCCTGTTCCAATAGCTCAGATACCGAGCTTCAGTTGCATTTCGTGAAAGCTCAGAAACAGGCAGCTTTGATTGCAAGTGATCAACGGGGTCATCTTTGTGCTTTATTCCAGCGCGTGACCTACTCACGTCTCCTGGCTTCGGGTGATGAGCGAACCCAGAGCTGGTCAGGAAGTGAGATATTAGCGATTCTAATGCCTTTGTCAGATGGTCTGTGACCGGAATCGCCTCTGCCGAAAGTTCGTCTTGTCCCATCAACCAGGGGATTTGTTCCAACTTGCTGTCAATGCGAAGGTAGAACATCGGCCACCTATCGACGCCTTTGCCCAATTTGCTGGCTTCTGTTATGGGCTGATCCCTTTCTCGGCGACGACTTCGGTTCCCTGATACAGTCCGCTCGTCATCCAAGGCCCCGAAATTTGATGCCTCGAACAAACGGTCGATTGTCTCAAACAAAAAATTGGCTCCCTTGCTACGCCAAATTGGAACTTGCCCAAGCGAGATGAACTGCGCCGCCTTGGACGGTGCTGGATGTGTCGAGATGGCGGCGCGAATGGAGAAGTGACCTGTTCGGACAGAGGCTGAACGCCACTGCTTCGTGTCTAGAGTGCCCAGGAACTTTGACTGGAACAAAATAGATACGGTAGACTCCAGTGAGAACGGCGTGCTGCCCACCTGGGACGAGCTGCAACGAAGACTGCGTTGTTTTTCGCCTCTCAACGTAAACCGCATCTCCACCGGGCGAGGACATGCCAGTAGGTATCCGACAAGCATCTTCTTTACCCGTTCGAACGCCCTCTCCGTCTCCAGCGCAGAAGAATAGCGTAGTGACAACTGCTTGAGTCGAACAGGAACATCGCCAAAGAGATTGTGTACCACGGCATTGGTGCCTTGGCGGATGAGTCCTACCTCCTCTTTGCATATGCCCACCTCGCGATTCACGGCGACGCCGCGGTGAAGGACCAACCGGCTTGCGGTCGACTCGGAATGATGCTGGGAGGCGATGAACAGCAGACATATGAATGAGAGGTTGGAGAGAAAGCGGCCGTAACGCCCGTACGTTGGATGCGGCGCGTTGAACTTAGAAGAGCCTGAACTACAATTAGTTTCGTCCTCGGAATGGGTTGGACTGCCTCCGTACAGTGTAATTTGGCGAGTTGCCCTTGCTGCGAGAATTCCACCTCTTTGATGCCATTGCCATCGTCGCAAACCGCAATGTAACCTCTCGCAAAGTCCGCTTCGACAACAATCGACCGGGCCTCCGCGTCCAGGGCATTTCTGACCAGCTCTTCGATGACAGACTCTGGTGTGGTGATATCGCATGTTGACGAGACTCTGGCGCGGACATCATCTGGGAGCAGGCTGATCCGAAAGGTGGCCTCAGCCATTGCTGGCAACGAGTCTCAGCCAGCGTCCTGCGTTGGCTGCAGCGTAGAGAAAAGGCGCTTCATGGGGGCTGCCACAGGGAAAGGGCTTGTTCGTGGACAAGGGGAACGGTATTGTGTAGCATTGCTTCAAGAGCTCCTGCCTGCGTTAGCGATCATGGACGCCACGGTGGCAGGCATGTCATGGAGGCAATCACATGGTGTGGCCGACTTTAATGAGGCATTGAAGATTGCTGGAGATTCAGTCAGAGGCTCTTCTCCATGTTTGGATCGTCGGCGTCCAACTCAATTCACTTCTCCTGCTCTCACTTAATTAAACTGAATACGCCTTTCTCACTGTCACCACCCCCTCGTCCGGTTACTGGTGTTTATCGGGGCTCGCAGTGATGGCAAGGTCATGATCTGGCGCTTGAACTTGGGTTTTTTGTTGGATTCCTGAGTTCTATACTCCTTCCATCTCCTGGCCGAGGAGCAACAGTCTCGAAGACGGAATCGTCACTGGAATGAATTCTCTCGGCTTATCATGACTGTCTCGAGATGGACGGCTCTAGCTCGCCAATGTCTTCGCCGTCGGATTTCGGTTCAACAGTTCGGCGACCTGTTGCAGGCGCACGATGGCGAAATTGCAATGAGACGTTTGTTCGATGCTCTAGTCGACTGTCGTGAATCATTTTGTCCGCCTGGCGATCCTCTCATCTCGCTATACATTGACCATCTTGGGAGCACTGGGGCCATCTCTGTCTCTGACGCGCTGCTAGTCTTGACGAAGCGATGGAACAATGCCAAAGGCCAGCTTTCTCAGGATATCCTGGCGTGCTACAACCAGACAGTGCAGGATCTAACCATGATCATGATCGCCCCCAAGTACAAATTGGAAGCATCAGAAGCACGAGTAGCATTGTCGCTCTCATCACGATGGCTCTCGGCTTTGGCACGTCAAGCTTCGCGAGAAGACGGCGAGAGGACCGGCCTGGAATACAGTGCTACAGTCGAGTCGCTTGCCTTTCTCGTGGTTTCCCTAGCCGCCACGGATGCTGGACTTGAGGCCCTCTCCCCGAGTGTGACATCGAAGAAAGAGGGATTGGATGGCCCATTGAGAGACCTGCGAGCCTCGATGAGACAGGCTTTGGAGCTATGCCTACCACTGTACTCTGTTCTCTCCTCGCAGCTCGTGGAGCGGATCAACACCGTTTTGAAACATATCAGTCTTCTCGACGGCGGCCCGCCTCAGGATAGCAACACGTCGACTCAAGCATCCGAAATCCAAGCACTTCAGTTCCAGGTGTCCATTGCGGAGAGTCAAATGGTGGCTTCCAAGGCCGGTACTACACTTTTCCTCGCAAGTCTCCTCATGACAGGCTCGACAGTTGATGACGGGACAGCTGTCAATTGGCTCTCTTCTCGTCATCACAACGACTACCAGGCAATGTTTAGCGACATTTTCACCACCTCATTTGCTATTCTGAAATGCCAGAACTCAACACCAAGGCGAAGCCTTTGCATGCAACAATGCCAGATTTTCATCCAGAACAAACTGCCGGCGCTTCTTTCAATGATTTCCGCCACCTCCTTTAATGGTTTCAGCACGGAACAGACCATCAGCGACGCATGGCAACAGGTAGTGCCGCTCCTCTCCGAGCACGATCTCCTGTCAATTGGCGCCCACTTCTTGCACGTCTGCTCTCTGATCCATCTGTTGCCAGGGCAAATGGTGTCTCAGCTTGTTGGGAATGAAGAACTTCTCAAAAGCTTGAGCAAGGGACTTTACACCAAGGACGGTCTTGTCGATCGGGTCAACTCAAACCCTGCCAGAGGGCCAAAGCTCGTTGAAGAGCTGATCCGCGGTGATGGCAGTGCAGGGTTCATCAGTCAGGCGATTGTGGAGGTGTGTAGATCGACGAGACGATGGATGTAGGCTGATGGCGCTCCAGATTATGCACAATTATTGCCAAAGCAAGGAGACCCAATACCTCAAAGATCTCGCCAATGCTATCTTACGCAGACCGGCTGCGATCAACTGCATTGCACTCTTCATTCGTCCATCCTTCTTCTTGAGCCCGTTGTGCAGCCTTTTGGATGAGTGGCGGTGGGATGAGATCCATGGTGAGTAAAATTCGCACACTGGCACCAATACCAGCTAACCTTGGTCAGGCGAGGCACAACCGGTATATGATGATTTCGGCGCGATATTCCTGCTCATATTGGTTACCAAGGCACGGCTGGATCTGCCCATCTCGGAATTAGGGATCCGCAAGAAGGGCGGCTTCCTGTCTGAGTATCTCAGGCACGAGAACTACGAATACAGCTTAGACGATCTGTCAGAGGAGAAAAGGTCCCACCTGGGCAACTGGATCAATGCCCTCTACCTTGCTGAAGGCCTCAGTGATGAGCTCTTCACCTCCTGCAGCCCGCACGACTTTTACCTGCTCATCCCCACTCTGCTACGGCAATCAGTCACCGCCTACCAGCAAGGAAAACTCACGCATGACGCACTGAAAGCTGGCTTGGATTGTAAGTGCACACACCATGCTTGGAGACCGCCAGCTAATCGTAGCAGATCTCCTGGAGCCCTTCCTGCTACCTTCCCTGATCTCGGCGTTAGGTTGGGCGGGAGAAGTCTTCCATCAGGACAATGCGGTCGTCGGGAAGGTCTTGGACGTGCTGACCAAAGCACCCGGCACGATGGAGTCCCGCGACATACACCACACCATTCTGGCCATGTGCGCTCCTCGTCTGAAGTTGCGCTTGACGTCCTCGACCTCGAAAGACAGCAACGTCGGCTCCGTCCTCAAAACGCTCGACAAATGCCAGGACTTCACGCTCACGGCCGAAAGAGAGGTCCAGAACGGGGGCCCCGGAGTCGTAAGCCTCCTGCAGCACAGCTTGGTGACGCTCATTACGTCTGCAAGCACTGCGCATCTCGAGCAACAAGTCAGCCTTCACGACATTCCCGCACTGGTGAGTCGGACCGTGGAAATTCGAGGCGTGGAGGCAGCTTTGCGGGCTTTGATCGGGGTTCTTCTGCAGCTGAGCGACAGCCATCAATTTCTCTTCGCTCTCGACGCCGTCACCACCGTGGTCTGTATGGGTGGGGAGGGCCTCCACGACGCGCTGCGCCTGCTGTACCACAACTTGGGCTGCACATTACGGAGCGGCGACACCTTGTCCGCCGAGGCTGTAGTGCGGCTCTACCGGCAGGTGGAAGCGTACAAGAACCTCCTCACCGTGCAGGATATGGGACTGGACACGATTTTCGGCCAGCAGCTGACCGACATCGACACGGCAAATCCCAACCTCGACGCCGCCACGGCTGTGTCCGGCGGCGGGGGGGACATGCAGGCGGAGCAGGGCCAGCCCGACGGCATCGACCAAGTGCTCGACGAGGTCGCGGCCATGGGCAACCTGGACACCAGCGACGCGGACATGAATTTCGACACCTTGTACGGCTTGGAGGGGAATGAAATGGATCTCAACGACTTGGATCTGGATATGTTCTGATTTTCAAACATCCGCCGGTCATTCATAGGCCCTTTTGGAAAAGTGTCGGGCCCTTCCGAGTACTGTACGTGGTTTTGGAAAACAAGGCAATTGGGTATTAAACTCGCTTCTACGCTATCAGCCGCTCTGTAATGTAACTTTGAAAAACTCCTCGACCTGCAGTTCTGTGGTCCAGACAGGACTGACGCTCTGGTTCTTTTTTGGTCGATTCCTTCCTTTTCACCTGATGCAGAATTCCGCCCGGATGCGTTGCAGCGCGAGGAACATGGCCTCTCGCTGCCCGGGCCCTAGATATTTCAATGTGATCAAATAAGACAGCGGGCCCTGCACTTGCAGCGTCGACGGGACGTCGATGCCACGATGTTCGCTCGCGGCACCGCCGCCGCTGACAAAGCCCGTGGGAATCGGACGTGATTGCCCGTTCTCATCCACATCCCCCAAAGCGTACGCCAATTGACCGATAAAGTCTCGGACTGTTTCTTGCAGCACCGCGGTGTTTGAGAGGATCAGGTCGTCGATCGTCCTCCCGCTGACGCGAGTGGTTTGGGTCTTGGGAAGCGTGGACAGGGCGTCCAGAAGCGCGGCGTGGAGACATGCCTTTGCGACGAAGAATCGGTTCCAGTGGAAGAAGGCGTGCCACGAGCTGAAACAATGGAGTCGGAGGAGCGTCCCCGATGTCCACGGGTTGCGCTGGAGATGCCGCTGGGGTGGTTCGGCGAGCACCTTGCGAGGCAGCCAGGTCGGGTCGGTACACCAGCCGTTGACCTTCTCCTTCAACCTGGCTGCCGCTCTTAGATAAGATTCCACCACCTGTGCCTTGTCCACCGAGGCATCGTCTTGCATGGAGAGGAAATTCCTGATCCGCGCACGCAGCTTCGTCACCCCGTGGAAGAAACTGCGCAGCCGCAATGAGGCCTCTGGCACAGTTGTAGCTTGCGACAGCTGTGATTCCAACATGAGATATTCCTGGCTGGGCTCTTCACTGGCAAACAACGGCTTCCAATGCTGGAACAGGTCAGCGCTCAGCATGCTCAAGTTCCTACCTGGTGCCCATACCATAGCCGACAGGAGAGTGGCGTATAGGTGCCGGCCTGCGGGACTGGAGAACTGTTCTTCGCCACGGAGACGCAGGAGCATCAGAGTTCCATCGACGTGTGTCTGGTGTGCTGATTTGCTCTGTGGGCCATTGACGCCGGCGAGAAGCTGCATGGAGGTCAGGCTATTGCATGATTTGAGTATGGGAAATGACCTGCGCACCTCTCTAATGCCTAGCAGCCATACCGCGACCAAGGTCTCGTCCCTCAGACACTGGTCAGGGTCCGCCAGCGCCGCCGTGACGCGTGACACAGCTCGAGCATATTCAAGCTCGATCATATCGCGCATGTCCACTGTTGGTGACCGGTTGGCAAAATTGACCGCGGCGACAGATCGCATGGCGGCATAGAGGTAAGAGTCTCGGCCCGCGTCCGCCAGTATTTGAGGGAGGAAGTTGAAGGCATGGTTGCCGTAGAGGACACGGGAGTTGACGTCGAGTTGCGTGAGGGAATAGCAGACGGCTTGTTCGGTCAAGTCGCCTGACGGGTAGGTCAACGGTGGTAACCGTTGCGGAGAACGTGTCTGGGACCGGACGATGGGGTCGGTTTTGGCCGACTCACTCTCGTCGCTATCGCTGGACGACGAACCTGCTCGATAAAATGCTGGCTGGGGAAGACTTTCGGTCGACAACGACCTCTGAGATTGAGTGTCTGTTTCGTTTGACACAAAGAGCGTAGACCGAATCAGGCCGTAGCCCGGTTCTCGATATCCGGGGCAGGGTTTCTTGAGCCTCGCACAGTTGCGACATCCTGGGCGTCCTTCGTCGCACTAGATTCTCTGCTGTCAGCATCAGAGCACGTTCCGGATGCGTGAATCGGCGTGGCCGACCTTTACTCTCCGCTTGCGACACAGGAAACACCCGGTGCTCGGACGACCAATGTTACCCATCGGGAAGCAAAGCACAGGTCTGGCGGCGAGATGCTCTCTCTGTCGGGGAGTGATGGCGAAGTCAATTTGGGATTCCGCCAGGCTTCACGATGCGAGATGCATGTCCCACGACGTGTTGCTCGGTACTTTCCAACTCTCGAAGCCGCCACAGTCTGGATCCTGTATGAAATGAACGCGCTTGAGCGGTCCCCTTTCAATATTTATCGGTGCGTCGGGTTGTGCGGTCAACTCGATTTAGCCGTGCGTGCTGATAGCCTTAATTGTGCCAGAATGTCTTCGACGGCCAGGGGTACGTCGGGATGGTCTGGATGTTGCATCGCATCATCTCCGTGGGCCAGGCTGTGTGATGGATGGGGGCGCAAGCTGGGAATGCGAAATGTGTCAGGTATCTCGTAGCCAGCGAAACATATCCGAGCCTTGAGCGCTGGACACTGAGGTCACCCACGATTCCGCGATTGGAGAGCCTCGTCTCAAGGGCCGTGAAGTGATAGCGCTCGAGGACGCACGTCGCATGGCTAGCCGGAGGAGGCTTAGCAAAAGCTGGAGAGGGTCGAGGCAGAGGCCAATGCGCATCGAGCTGTGCCTGGGGAGGGCTGGGCTGCCACGTGTGAGACCAGGATGCAACTCCAGCTTGACGAAGTCAAAGAGCCTGCAGTGGAGGTGAGACGTCGCTGACTACGCAGAGAGAGAGACAAGCGACTGACGGCATGCAAAAGTTTGCAGAATGGGGAAGCAAAAGGAAGCCAGGCCACGCGGGCGCAGGCAGACGCAGACCGCAGACCGACCAACGCATGGCATATTTTTCTCGCTTCAAGTGATTGCCCGCAAACGGAAGCATCCACGACGGTGGCCCGTGCGTTGCCGACCCGCCTCTTTCGAGCTGCCCGTTTGGTGCCCCCAAGCGCCCCTCATGCACCCGTTTGATCCGTGATGTCGCTCAATCGGGCACGGGTCGCTCCCAAACTATCGACATCGACTCGACGTGTTCCCTCGTCAATCCGGCCAACCCCATGACGGCCCCGCACCTGGGACCGCGAATCCGGCAAGTTTCGCGTGCCAATAGCCTGCGGTGCCCCTCGATTGGATCGCCACTCGTGGTTTCTGTTTTTGGCCCTCCTGCCCCTCCAGCGTCGCGTATCCTTTCCGATTTGGCTTTGGGGTGCGCGAAACCTTGCATCCCGGATCCTTTAAGTTTCGGCTCAGCTGGACCGCAGCCGACGTCGCACACTTAATACTGGGGACAAAGTTTTTCTGCTTGCTTTGAGTGGCATGACGTTCACTCGAATGTCTATTCAGAGGCGAGTGATATCGTCATTCGAGATAGACGCGCATGGAGCTTGTCTCATCCCAGCTATGTCTCCCTTGAAAATCTCACCTCCTCTTCAAGTTTCGAGAAGGTGTCATCGGCATTTGCTTGGCACAGCCTCCGGCGGCGCAGCGCTTCGTACAGGAGAGAGTGACATTGGTCATGATCTTGCAGAAGCCTTGGTTGTCGACACGAGATTTTTTTTTCTCGCGCAGAATGACTGCACCACACGTCGATGATGTTCGTTGCGAGACGCAGAGACCCTTGGTAAGCTCATCGCGACAGGAGTTGAGCACACCGGACACTCTCCAGCGGTACAAACTCTATCCTGCACTTCAGCCGCATTGCAAGACTGGCATCCCGTCGCATGGGCATTCGGAGACACTACAGACTCGGCCCCTTTACGCGTCCGCGCAATCTTGGTGAGTTTATCCGGTCCGAGAAACCACAGCGAGGATTCAAGAGGCACTGGTCATGTGCAAGCTCGCCCGCTGACAGCTGCGTCGAACACCTAGCTGATGTCTTTAGCGATGTGTCAGTCTCCGACCATGGGTCAAAATGCCCCTGCGTCCCGAGGGGCGAACGATGCAGAATGCTGATGGTGTCGGCCATGGACACATCCAGAAGACCAATAATTTGGGCTATCCTGCTGAGGAACAGGCCTTCCAATGATTTATGGCGCAGAATCTGAGACACGACCCATGGCGGTCGATTGCCCTTGACCGCGAGAACTAAGCTGAGGATTTCCGGGCCGTCAGAAAAAGTCGCAACAAGGAAATAGACGACGTGCGCTATAATGCAGACGCCATCACTTGTGCTCAGGGGCAAGTTTGCCTCATAGTGCCAGCTTCGTTGACGTCGATGGCCAATCCGAACGCGCGGCCAGTCTGGCCCGAGCAGACTCCTCGCTTTGATAGCGTGGCGCACCAGTGCCGTCGCCGTGAGGGCCAGAAGGAACATGCTGGGTCTGATCAACAAGCTCCACATGAGCAATACTAAACGTGGAGCCGTACTGGACATCCCAGCAAAATATGGTCCCTCTTCATTCAATCCCTTATTGAATGCGTCTCCCGTCCTTCAATTCACGCACATAACAGGTGCCAATCATGATTAACTGGGTTGCCTCACCTCTCAAGGCGCTCTTCAGGAATACCATGCGATCTATGTCGAGCCAGAGACGGCGCACTCACCACACACCGGTACTTGACAGTACTGGCAAGAACTGGTTACCGCCCAAGCTCACCCTGAGGCAGCTCTGCTGGGTCGAGATCGTTGCGCGGATTCATGATTTGTTGTAGATCTTGGCCAATCAAACGACAAGTTCTCCAGAAATGCACCAGATCCTTCCTCGCATGGGAGCTGTCGGGGTCGTCGGCGTCACGCTCGTTATCTGTCACAGCTGGGGATGACAAGGGTTCTGAGTCTGAGCGGGAACCGTGGTAGGCCAGAGGAGAGTTGGCACCCGCACGCCATGTAGGGTCTGAAGAACGGAACTGAGAGGTGGCGTTCATTTCAGAGCCTATCACTACTGCCGTGGAGTAGGAGAAGGGATAGTCGATGAGACAACCTTCCTAGCAAGGATGCCTTTCACGCCGATACCGCCGATACCGTCAGCCAACCGCACGGGTGGTTGATTGAGCCCGCATACACTGAATTTTGACTATCAGCCGTTGTGGTTGATCTCGGTGGGCCGAAAGTATTCTGAGCCAGACTTCTCCTGATCAACGGTCCACGACAGGCTCTCTGCATGACTGCCACTAGCTTGTAGAAGCAGTGTCCCTATTTCAATTGCGCAAGAGATGATCGAAGAGCGGCGCGTGGGACTTGGCCACGGATTCACAATGGAAATCAGGTGGACCTACAAGAAACTGGGAATTCCAGTATGCCATTCAGCCTATGAAGGTATTCGATCTTCCGCCCTTCACCCTCCATTTTGGCGCCCGTACGTCCGTCAAGACCATCGCCGCGTCATGAGCATCAGTCAAGCTCTCCTCAGTCCCTCTGTGCGGACATGTCGGCTTGCCTGGCGACAAGGCGGAAATTATGCTACGCCTCTTGCTCGCTAGGCCGGGAGAGAAACTGCGCCATGTCTCCAAATTTCCGTCTCTCTCTTCATTCATTCTCACGAACAGTGTTTTCACTGACGGATTGACGTCAGCATGGCTTCCACGCCAGCTTCCCACAGCCAAGGCAAGGCTCGACACGATCTCTCATGGAGTACGATGCGATGACCTTGTCGCAACACAGGCGGCGGCATTCGCTTTAGCGACCACCTTGCACGAGATGTATCTCGGCTCAAGGCACCGACCTCGCCGTTGACAATCTCCAGGAGTCTTTGTGCTGAAGGTTGCATTCCAGCGATCACGGCGCTCGGGACTCTGAACACGAAGCACATCAAGCATGGGCTGGCAATGATACCCCCGGCGGCCGTCACCGCCGGGCAACTGAACATATCCAATATCGTGGACGAGGATACCACCCTCAGAGGTCTAGCGGCTATAAATGGCGCCGACGAGCTGGTCTCGGGTGAGTAACCGTCACTCTTTTTGTCTAACTATCCATATTTCTCTATATCTCACCCCGCATACGGCCCCTTAACCCTGTCTCTTCCCAAGACCGAGTTGAGTTTGATAGCCCCAGGCGATAGTCCACATGATGCGTGTCCTCCCTTCTGCCGGCATCTTCACCAAATCCGCGTCGCACCTCCTCTGCGGCAACCAGATCGGCGCGCAAGTTTCGAGACCGCGCCCGGCCCGCAGCTCGCCTGCCACGTCGTTGTCCCGCAATGAACAGGATGTACATCTCCCTGCCTGAAGCGGTGGCGAAAGACGACGGCCGCAACCCCCATGGATCTAGTCACAGGCGTGATGACAAGGGGGTTCGGCATGCCTCTGTGAGAAATGCTCGAGCAAGGCGACAGGTTGAGGCTAGCGTCCGACGCCGGAAATAGAACGGCAGGACGATCTACCTCTCGAGATGCCTCCTGACAGTGAGATGGATTGGCTGGGCATGCTTGACAACGTACCGATCCACGAATGTCGCTATCTGTCACTCTATGCTGGCGATGCTAGAAGCCTCCAGAACCACAACAGCCAGCGCCGCCGCGCGAACAGTCCAAGGGACATCCGTACGGCGGTCACGGCGGCTGGAGCAGCAGCAGCATCAGGCCAGATAGGTGCTCGGCAACCGACCCTTCGAATCTATAGAGCACGAATTTTTCGAGAAGCTGCACCCCCATTGAGGTGCGCGTCTCTTATCATATCCGCGCCTGTCTCCACGACTGAAGCCTCCTCTGGGCCGCCATGACGCCAGGAATCATGACAGTGAAGTGGATTTGTAAGAGTGTTTTAGACTATAGATTGATATGTATCGTCTGCAGCTACTGTAGTATCAAGTGTCATGTATCAAATACCTCATAGCTCCCACGATGTACCACTATTCCTCACCCATCCACGGTTCTACAATGATAGTGACAGTATAGTAAATGTGACAGCGGTGGTGATACACCACGCCCTTCAAGACTCCTTCATCTTTTGAACTGCCCGTTGTAACGCCCGTACGCCGATTCGCTCCCTTGGATGGTACCGCATATACACGCATGCATGTAAGTAAAGTTCAAATACAAATACAGAAGCAAAAGCAAAAGTTAGCCCAACTTGGGGAGATTGTGGGCGCGAATCTTCATAACAAGCCGTTCAGCTCGGGCCCTCAATGCCATCACTCGGGCCTTGATCTGGCTCAAGTCTGGCGTCGACGCTGGGCTTGGCTCACGGCACGTCGAACTCGAGACACTGCTTGTCGCTGGAGTCGAGGAACTAAAAGCCCCTGCACGGTCCACGGCCGAAGTGCTCACATTGTCCGGGAGCGAGATCCTTTCGAGGGTTTCGCATTCTCTGATCTTGTCGGCCTCACCGTCTCCCGTGTCGACAGTGTCGATGTTTTTGTTGCTACCGGTCGCCGACATCCGCTTCCTTTGCGACTCCCATGCCTTCATCACCTCGAGCTTCACGCCCGGTACGTCCATCACGTCGCCGATGACGCCGGTAGCCATGCACCTGGTACAAATGCCCGGAAAGACATGGACGTTGTCGCTGACGTCGTCTTGGCATACTTGGTGGTTGGATGCGATGGATGTCCCCGAAACCAGCAATTTGTCTATGATGTCAGCGCATTGGACGATGGTCTTGATGTTGACGTGACCACAGAGATGGAAGATCGTGTGGGATTCGCACATTGCTTCCTAGGAATTTGAGCTGGAGGTGGTTGATTCGGTTGGTTGCTGCTGCTGGTGGCGGATCGGAAATGAAGTGGACGACATAACTGGACCGTGGGCGACCTGTAGATTTTGGCACGACTTTGGGGGTGCCCGAAGACAAACAAACCTGGGAGGGAAACGGCTTCTGGACAATGAAATACGCCCTGAGGCCTTTGTTGGTGTTTCCAAGTTTAGCATCCCCTGCATCGTTAGTGGTGGTCAGTGACACTCAGATCAGATGGTGTTCGAGGTTCTTTGTTCTTCAAATGGTCTTGACCTTGCATGCACGAAGGAACGGGAGTGGCAGCGAGTGCAATTTCTCTGGACTCTGTTCACCGCGTCTCAGCAGCAAATGCGGGCTGAATGCCTGATGGTCGCTTTCGCTGCACTGGCCACTCCGTGTAAGGCTGAGAGTTACTTGAATGCGTGAATGGCCACTGATAAGGCTGAGTACTGGGTAAGGAGGGCATCGATCACGATACGTCATTGTCATCGGCAACCGAGGCTGCTGATCCGAGCCGCGCTTAGTTCGCATGTGCCATCCTTGTACGAGGTAACTCGTACTGTGCATCGTATCAACCACGCTGAGAGCCTCGCTCGTGGTGGAAAGGAGATCCCATCGAAGCGAAAGAATCCCCCGGGCAATCTCACGTTTAGTAGTTGGGGACATTCAATTGGCGGTCAGGCGTCAGGCAGGCGTATTGAAGCGCGATGGAGCGACGGGTGAATATTTAGGTAATGGCAACAGCACCCACCAGCGAATGTGCGTGACATCATTGGCCCCCATTGCAGCGGCGAATCCGGGGTTCAACGTTGAACTTGGCTCCTTCTTCAAGCTTTGGCTCCATGTGATGCAACGCCACATTCAACGCGACTCGTTGGAGCTCAGAAGATCAATTCCTCCCACAAATCAGGCGGGTCAATCGCTCGTCCACTTTCCGGCTTACAGTTGCTGTTTCGAGGCAAAAGTCGACCATGACCGCATATGCGCATGCGATCGTCCAGATCGTCCTCGGTCGCTGGGCCTGCGAATGCGTGCAATCTCGCGTCCCTTGACCGAGCACGAGACCCTTCTCTAGTAGAGACACGGAAACCACCGTGACCAATAGGTGACTGACTGATCTATCCCCCATCGCTGACGTAGGCTGCTTATGGAGTTGTTGAAAGCGTGCCACGCCCTATCTCGCTTCCCTCCATCCCTCCTCTCGAAGCAATCTGCTCGCTCCTCCCCTCTGAGGACACTCATCTACATATCGACGCCTTATAACACAGCAAAATGGCTGGATCACGACGACGATCGAGCACCGGGCGGCGGAGGACGAGTATCCAGGACGATGCTGCCATGCTGGCGGGGCTTGGTGTGAAGCAAGAGTTGCAGCGGAATTTCTCCTTCTTGTCGATGCTGGGGCTGGCCTTTGCGATCCTGAACTCCTGGACCGCCCTTGGTGCTAGCATGTCACTGGCTTTGCCCAGTGGTGGTCCAGACGCGGTCATCTGGGGTCTCGTTGTTGCCGGTATCTGCAATCTGAGTCTTGCAGCGTCTTTGGCCGAGTTCCTGTCGGCGTACCCGACGGCGGGTGGGCAGTACCATTGGGTGGCGGTCATCAGCTGGAAACGATGGGTGCCGTTGCTGTCTTGGATCACTGGCTGGATCAACACTGCCGGCTGGGTCGCCTTGACAGCCACCGCTGGGCTGTTGGGAAGTCAACTGATCATTGGAATCATAGCGCTCTGCTCACCAGGTTACGAGTCGCATCGTTGGCACCAGTTCTTGATTTACATCGGCTATAATCTCTTCGCGTTCGCAGTAAATGCGTTTATCACCAGGCTGCTCCCACTGGTCAACAAGGCCGCCTTGATCTGGTCGCTCACCGGTTGGGTGGTCATCTCCATCACCGTTCTTGCCTGTTCATCGCCAAATTATCAAGGAGGAGACTTTGTCTACCGAACATTTATCAACGAGACCGGGTGGCCAGATGGGCTTGCTTGGCTCCTCGGCCTATTGCAGGGAGGTCTCGGTCTGACTGGCTTCGATGCAGTCGCGCATTGTGTTGAAGAGGTGGGAGATCCGACGGTCGTAGGCCCTAGGATCATGATCGGCTGCGTTCTCATCGGCGTCTTCACCGGCTTTATTTATTTGAGCGTTCTCCTGTTCGTCGCAAAGGATGTGGAGGCTGTCATCAGCTCAGCAGCCGGCCCAATGTTGCAAATCTTCTATGACGCGACCTCGAACAAGGCCGGATCGGTGTGTCTGTTGATGTTTCCTCTTGTCTGCTTGTTGGTAGGTTGCATGATCTGTCGCCCTGAAACGAGCGAAAGTGGCGCTAACTTATCCTCCCCAGTTTGCCGCAGTCAGCATCATGACGACGAGCAGTCGGATGGTGTACGCCTTCGCCCGAGATGGAGGGCTACCCGCCAGTCGCTTCTTCGCCAAAGTTGACGGACGACTACAGGTTCCTCTCAACGCGCTCTGGCTGACGACGATCCTGGTCATCATCTTCGGATGCATCTTCCTCGGTTCCAGCAGCGCGTTCAACGCCATAGTTTCAGCGTCGGTGGTTGCTTTGGGAGTCACGTACGCCATTCCTCCGGCAATCAACTGTCTTCGAGGTCGACGGATGCTGCCAGCCTCCCGTCCATTCGTCCTTCCCACCTGGCTAGGCTGGACCTGCAACCTGGTAAGCATTCTGCCGATAGAGACGAGGATTTCACATTGACATTCTCAGATCGGAATCGCATATGTCATTCTCACCACCGTGCTGTTCATGTTCCCGCCGGAGAAAGACGTGACTGGCAGTAACATGAACTATTGCGTTGCAGCGTTTGCAATCGTATTGGTAATCTCCACAATGCAATGGGTCATCGACGGTCGGAAGAACTATACCGGGCCTCAGATTGACATTGACGCTCTCAAAGCAGGGGAGATTGTCGGGATGGCGCCTGCGGAAGGTGAGGGGGGCGGTGTCGACCGGTCTAGCGATGACACGTTGGGCGGAGGCCAGCAGAAGAAGGCTGAGATCTGATTGATTCCTCTCTAAACTGGTCGGGGCAGGCAAGAAGATTTTACATGAACATGCTTCTTCCTCTCCTCGTGTGGCTGTAGTTGTGTAGAGCCCCCCTTTCCCTTGTCCAGTCGAGTCAGCCAGGCCACTCGGGATCATTCTTCCTTCGAAAGACGGCAATGAACTTCTTCCCCCCGTTCCTAGTCACTTTCTTGGACTCCTCCGTTTCCTCGCTCATGATCTTGACGCACGGATCCGCCTCGAGCTCTTCCGGCGACAGGCGCTCCCACAATTCTCTGGCGTCACCGGCCTCGTCGCCGTCAAAGTGCTTGGTCATCCATTGATGCAGCTCCTCGACGTCCGTGATCGTGTAGACCAGACCCCCGGGCCTCGTCACGTACGCGTACTCGGCGTTCAGCTGGGCCGAGACGATGCGCGCCTTGTGCTTCCGCTGCTTGAAGTGCGGGTCCGGGAAGCAGAGGAAGATCTTGGCCAGTTGGGCCCGCGTGAAATAATTGGGCAGGAACTTCATGCTGTTGGTCCGCAGCACCGAGATGTTCTGGTACAGGCTGGCGGCGGCGGCGGGGTTCTTCTGATTTTGGTCCTGATCGTCGTCGTCGTCGTCGTCGTCGGCGGCAGCCGATTGCTGCAAATTCTGCGCTCGAAGCGCGGCGATCCTATCAATCACGTAGTTTGTGACTTGGATTCGTAGTTCCATGCCTGCCGCGCTCATAGAGAGTACTCTGTCAGCAGTGATCCAAACCCAGCGAACGCGTAGACAGGCGGGTTGGGAAAAGGGGGGAATTCCAAACCGAGCATTAACGTCTCCGGAAAGAGAGGTGCCAGGGCGACGAGCAGGCCGCCAAAGCCACAGCCGATATCTGCGATTTCAACACTCCGCGTCATGCTGGGTGGTGTCCCACCGCTTTCAGTCCGACCCGGACTTGGAGTGCTCACAAAGGCCGGATAGTGACTCGTCCAGTCCATGTCGGCAGGACTCGCGGGGCTTTGATATCAAAGGCAGTTAGCATTTTCCGGCGCCATCGACAGCACGCCCGCTAAAACCAACCAGAGAGGGAAGGAAGGAATGGCCATCCGGGCAAGGGGGGAAGGGGGGGGGACTTACTACGCCAAAGCATGGTCTGAGAAAGGGTTTGCATGAGCTCGTTGTCGGTAGAACTTTTTCTTGGGTAATTTGATCTGCTGCTCGCTTGCAGGGCGGCCGTTTGCTCCTCCTGTCTTGAAGCCCCCTTGGGTCTTTTTGTACTCTTCGCGTTTCTGCCGCTTGTTTGGAGGTCCGACCATGGTGTTGGATGGCGACGACAGCCGTGAACGATTCGTGGTGTCAGGGTTTTGGTGGGTTGAAGTACATATTTAATGGCTTCGTGTGGAGAGAGCAGAAAGGCAGTGGATGGTTCAAAGCGTGCTTGGCGGAGTTTTGCACTTTACGAAGCTTGATACCGAGTATTATACATGCAGGGACACAAGCCAGTCAGGTGGAATGGTGTCCTGGATAGGTGTCCTGAAAATTAGTCGACTGTGAGTCTCTGGTCAAGCAGAGTCCATATTCGCATTGTTGGTGGAACAAAACACCTGCCGGCGAAAAGAACACACCTTGTATTGGAACTAGAACCGTCCTTCTCATTGGCAAGGACAGCCCCTCGTGGCAGCAGTATTCCAGCTGTCCATCGACAGTACTGCACCATCTTGTCGTCTGCTATCGTCTATTCCTTTCTACGAGCCAGACAACACTACGATCCGGACTCTCCTCTTTCCCTTCTCTCGCGCGCCGCCTTTCTCTTCCGAGCTCACTCGCACCTTGACCTGCTGGAACAACTCTACCGTGACACCATCCTGCTCGTGGCCTCTCTCGAACACTGTGAGTTGGTATGCATCAGCATTGAAATTGCTTTCCCTCTGTCGTGCCTCCCCGGACTTCAGCTGGAAATCATCGAGCCGGACAAGCCCTTCTATTCCGAATTGCGGGACAAAGACCACGATTCCGTTCTCAAACACTCGCATCACATACCCATCGATATCGATTGGAGTGGCAGGGGATTTCTCTGCTCGAGCCTTGAGCGCTTGTCCGACATAGTATTCAATGCTCGCGCGGCCCGCCAACTGAGCATTGCGGTGTCTGAAGTTCAGATTCTGGCACACTCGTTCTAGCTTGCCCTTGTTACGTAGGTCATAGTCAACAATCTCGCTGCCTTGACCGTCGTAGCCGATTGCGTAAGCCAACTGGCGGTGAGCTAGCAAGTCGGCGTATCTTCGAATAGGGCTCGTAAAGTGGGTGTATATCTCGCTAGCCAAACCATAATGTCGGTACTCAGGTTCCGCATGAGATCCGCTGCAGAAGTACTCGGCCGAAGTCATGCATCGAGTTGCCATAATTCGAATCAACGTGTTGAAGAAAGGATGTTTGGGATCGACGCAGCGATCCAAAGAATCTGCAAGTGCCTTGGAGCTTGATACATCCAGCTCCAAACCGCGCATGCGTTTCAGCTGCTCGCTAAGGTCTGCGAAATTCGTGGCTGGTGGTGCAGCATGTCGTCGCAGTAAAGCAGTTTGAGGGAAGACAGCCTGTATCTTTTGTGCCACCGTAATGTTGGCTAGAAGCATAAATTCCTCAACAAGTGAGTTGGTGGCCAGATGTGCTTTCGTCTTGACGTCGGCCAAAGAGTCCGAAGACTCGCTGTCGGCTTCAATTCTGACTTCTGGGCTTGACAGGTTCAATGCGCCAGCATCCATTCGTTTCTGACGTAACTTCTGGGACAAAGACAGCAGAGCCCTCATGCCCTCAGTGAGCGGATCTGTGGCATTTGGATCATCTATCCGCTTCTGAGCTTGCTCGTATGAGAAGCCTTCTTTAGACAGGATGACAGACTTGGTGAAGGACGAAGACACGATTTCAGCATCGGGAGTGATCTCCCAAAGCGTGGAAAAGGCGTACCTCTCAACGTACGGCTTGAGAGAGCACAAGTCGGTGCCCAGCAGCGGTGGCAACATGTCGATCCTCTTGTCGACGAGATACACGGTTGTGCCTCGAGCAGAAGCTTCATCATCCATCGCGTTATTGGGCTTGACGAAGTGAGAGACATCCGCAATGTGGACGCCAACCTCAAAGTTTCCGTTTGGCAGTGGTCTAGCGTGCAAGGCGTCATCGATATCCTGACATCCGGGTGGATCGATGGAGCAGACAAGCAGGTGCCGAAGATCTTTCCGACCCTTCCACCCTGGATCTGAAGATTCGGCTGGGACCTTCCAATCGTGTCCTTCTGCAGGCAAGCAATCCAAAACCGCTTTTGGGAACGGTCGATACTGGACGTCGTACTCGAGAAGTAATGCTTCGGTCTCAGCCTCCTTAGTCTCCAGCTCACCCAGCGAGCGAATGTAGTGGCCAACTGGATACCTCGTATCTCGTTCCCATGCATCGATAGTGGCAAGGATACGCTTGCCAACCAACTCATCGACCTGGCGAGTTCGAATGCGTATCTTAGGAATGCGCTTGTCCATCGGGACAAGAAAGACGGTAGTCTGCCGGTTCCCAGACGTCCCAGAAGCGGCATCGATTGTTCCAACAAGTTGTCTCCAGTTTCTCCTCATGATACCCACCACTCTGCAAGTGGGCTGGGCTTTTATCTCTCCTCCTGCGGTGTGAGCGCGTCGAACTTCTTCCTGAAGGGCTCGTCTCTCGTTCTCGGTAACGACGGTTTCTTCTTGTTCTTCATCTTCGGGGTTGTCGTCCTTGTTGACGGTCTCCTCGTCGAGAATTTGAGTAGACGGTGCTTTCCACTGCTCCTTGGGCAGGAGTTCGACCACGACCACGTCGCCTGACACTGACCGATTGCTGCTCTCCCTCCCAAGAATCAGCAACGGTTTTTCGAAAGCCGGCACCTTGACCGTTCCTTCAAGATAATTGTAAGTAGACACGTTGAAGACCCCTTGATGCAGTGTTCCGGCTTTGATGCCCGTCATCATTCTCGACATCGAGTAATATTCCGGATAGATCATTTCGCTTTGCACTGCTCGAGCTTCCTGGCTCTCAGCACTTTGACTAACCATGTCAAGCAACCGATCGGCATCCTCCAGGCCTCCGACATACTCCCGCAGTGAAACCGCATTTATATGCTCTGCCTTCGCTCTTTTTCGGTTTTCCTGGTCATTCGTGATCACCACAATGGTGGGAGGCTTCTTTGTGAGCTGGGCCAGATGAGTCGTGTACCACGCCGCGGCTTTCCTTACGGCTCTGTCGTTTCGATCATTGACAGTCTCGCCATCCGCTCGTCGGACCGCCGTTTCGGAACGGAACTCATTGAAGAAGAGATAGAACCGCTTGTCCTCGGACTGCGTTAACGACATTAGTCTGTTATAAAGAGGAAGGCTCCTATTCTTCAACTCTTCCAGCACCGTCTGCAGAATGATGGTATCGCGGAAATGATTGGACTCTTCGAAGAGATCCATTCCACTGAGCAGGACATTTGTGTCCGGGATGAGGTAGTGGCCATTCGGGAAGACTTTCGTGGCGCTCGGCCGCTTTGAGAGAACGAACTTGGGGACTGAAGCACTCGTTAGAGTCGTGACACTTGCGTTTGGGGGAAGACCTACCTAGTCCATTGGCGCTGGCGGCCGCAGTCGAAGCGCATGTCGTGCATAGCTGCGAAGAGCAGGGGATGTCTTTTCGCAAATATTGTTCTCTCACGATCTTCTGGACTCTGCCGCTCTTTGTCGATCTGATGTAGACCTTGGTGGAGATATTGGCGGCACTCGGATCAGCGGCTAGGCCTCTCTTGAGGCTCTTCATTGTCTCCTGACGGTGCTGAACGCCAACTCAAGAAGAATGTAGGAATACATTCCGAGGCTCATAGAAATTCATCAAGACCCCACGCTTGCAGCTGGCGGCCGAATACTTGGACGTATAGAGTACGGTAAAGTATTAATGCCATCGGATGGCATCTTTGGATGCGAAAGCCCGCCAGAGTCTGCTTCCCCTCGCGAAGCCTCAACAGTTGTGCCGGTCCGGCTGTCGACGGAGCATTGCAACTCCTCAAGATTTCCGAAGCGCGATGATGTGAAGTGAATCTCCGGTCTCTCGGGTGTAGCGTATGGCCGTTCTCTGCGTACAATACAGCTGAAGACTCACCCTTCAGAGATCGACCTGACTGCCTTCATTTGCTGACCGTAGCGGCTCGAACATCTCTGGCCATCGTCGTAACGCATGTTCATCAGCGGACGGCGACCACCAGCATGTCCGAAAAGCCACCCTACATCGTGCCTCCCACGGCTGATATCTCCTCTACTGCCCGTCCTGCGACACTGATCTTCCTACATGGTTATGGAGACGACGCGGACGGCCTACCACTGGGCCTGGCGCAACAATTCCAGTTCTACCACAAGATGCAATATCTGAAGTGGGTCCTGCCTTACGCTCCGCACAACCAAGAGGCCATGACCCGGGCCTGGTATGTGCCCCGAGCATTGCCTAATGCTATGAAACCCTGGGTCCCAGGCGAAGTGGCAGAGGAAGATGCCCCGGACGACGAGGCAGGTATCATGAGAAGTGTGGACGTCTTAGATCAACTGGTGGAGCAAGAAATAGAAAACGGCACACCCCCGGAGAGAATCCTCGTCGGTGGATTCAGCCAAGGCTGTGCCGTCAGTCTGGTTTGGGGTCTCACCGGACGACTGAGGAACAAGGTGGCAGGCGTCCTCTGCCTGTCAGGCTATCTCCCTCTACGCGACCGAATCGCGGAGCTGCGGAATGAGCGGGCGGTCGGAGCGAATGAGAAGGATGCAAAGCAATGGTTCTACGTCCATGGCACAATGGACATGCTCGTTCCATTGAAGATGTTCATCCAGGGTAATGAAGACCTGATCAAATGGGTGGATCGAGAGAACATCGACGGACACGTATACCAGGGAATGGGTCACTCGACCAACTCGGCCGAGCTGAGAGATATGCTCGCATTCTTCGAGAAGGTCATTCCGGCATAGACGAGAGCTGCACGACAGTCGAGCCGAATTTGGTAATAAAACCATTCAACATTACTTGGCGTCTGCATTTCGGCTACTCCGCATGGCCCTCTCCTTGGTGGTTTGTTCAAAAGAGTGACTCATAGCAAGAAGTCAAAAACAATATTCTCCCGGCGGAAACCGATCGCCTCAAGTTGTTCAACTGCGGTCCGGTCTGCCCCATCAGCAATCTTCGCGAAGCCGTTCATCGCGGGCAAGTCTGTAAGCAAACAATCGTCAGCATGTCTCTTCTTCAATATACACCCAAATGACGATCTTCGTCCACCCATCCTCTCCATATCGGCCTCAGCGCCACATCACAAACACTCTAGTCGAGCTGAGTCGAGTCGAGTCAAGTCGAGTGAGGTCGAGTCCCTAATACTCCCCAAACACCACTACAGAAGCAACCCAGGTATACAGCGCAAGTAAATACAGACAGGACTCATGAGGCACTCACCGCGCCACAGGAACCACAACTCTTACTCCCCGAGGAGATGGTAGCGCCGCATTTCGGACACCCGTTGTGAGACATTCTGGTCTGCTCTGCTCTGTCTTTTCCGATCGGTCGGCGAAGAGAAGAGGTACGCAGTGAGAGAGAGAGTCTGTACTCGTAGACTGGACCCGAAATGAGGCTGTAATTACGCCCTGGCGCTCGTCCTGGTCGGAGAGTGTCAGTTCATCCGCAACGCAACACAAGATAAACACGGACGGCAACTAAGTATGGAGCGGACCGGACCTGACGTACGGAGAACCGCGAGCAGAGTGTACGGCGGAGAGTCAACTCGGTCAGGTAGGCAGGTAGGTAGTTTGGAGTCGGTCGATTTTCAGAGTCGACACCGTGTGAATCGGTGAGTGCGTGCGTGAGCGAACGAGTAGGTGGGTGGGTAGGTAGGTAGCTAAGTGACTGACTGCCCGTGTCTGGAGGTCGTACTGTATATAAGTCCATGTACGGAGTACTAGACTTTCGTCAGGTGCCCCTCACTTGCGCTTCTGCTTGTATCCTCCCCACGCGCGCCCGCCACGCCACCTTGCGCAACTCGGACGCTGACAGTTGGGTGCGCGTGACTGGCTGCCTGGTTCTATGATTCCCCCGGTCTTTGGGCGTGCCCAGAATGAGGCCACGCATGGTGAGCGTGGAGCGAGAGCGCGAGCGCTGTGCGTGGTCATTTACGACGGCCAAGAAAGACGTGGTAGGACATGTATTCGAATCGGTGATTAAGGGTGTCGAGAAGTCGAACATGGACCAAGAAGGAGTCATCCACACTTACACGTACACGTACAGTTTGTCTTTTCCAGTCTGAAGAGCTTTGTTCTCTATACTGTTTTCCTCGCTCTGCCTCAAAGACCCCTAATTCTTGATATGCTCACTGTATGAACGCCGCCAAATGCAAATGACTATGTTCATGCCCACGCCCATGCTCGTGTCTATGCCCATGTATGTAAGTGTCCGCATCCCAATCCATATGCATATCCTGGATACGCCATGCTCTTTGCCAACCAGAAACCGACAATCACAACTTCACGGGGTACTTGTTCCGAATATGCTCGCCGTACTTGAAGAATATCCACGACAGGGGCGACATTGCCAGGGCGATGAAAGCGAGCAACGAGTTGCCCCATCCCAGACCTAAAGCCGCGTACATGTCTGGTCCTGCCAATGGGAGGAAAGCACCCATCAAGCTCCGGAGAACCGTGTTTGCCGCGATGGCCGAAGCGGCATGGATGGGGTAGGCGTCGACCAGATACGTCTGGATGGGCATGAAGGTCGCTAGAAGGCCCAGGCCGATAAAGAGAGTCCCAATGATGGGCATGATCCAATGGATCTGCTTGTCGGCAGACCAGCCGTACCAAAACAGACCGATGGGTATGATCAAGCTACCAGGAATGAGAGGCGGTAGCCGGTACTCTGGCTTCATTTCTCCCTTGGCAGACATTTTCTTCACCGTCTTGTCGGAGAGGGCGCCGAAGATGACCAGACCGAACAAGGAGCCGATCCCGATGCCTAGGAAGCTTAACCCCACGGCGCCCTGGCTGAAGTGGTAGTTGTTTTCGAAGACCAGGGTCAGCGTGGTGAAGAGCAGGTAAAGGTACCCGTACACGACGGCCATGTACACCGAGAGGGACAGCACAATGGGCGAGAGGACGAGCATCTTCGAGGGCCGGATGAGGGCTCTCGTGAAGAAGGCGCGCATGGGGATCTGCTGATCGAGCTTCGACCGCAGGTTCGGGTTGCCGGTCTGTTTCCGCTGTCGCTTGGCCTTGCGCTCCAGCAAAACGGGTTCGTAAGTCTCGCGCATGAAGATGACCGAAAAGGTCAACGCAATGCCACCGGCGATGGTGATGAGCCAGAAGATCCAGCGCCAACCTGCACCTTGGCCCAGGTACCCTCCTGCCACCGGGCCGATGACGGGGCCCATGAGAGGTCCCAGCGCGAAAATGGCCATTGCTGCACCACGCTTTTCCTGGACAATCAGGTCTGCTATGGAGCCGCCGCCGATGGTGAGAGGACAGCTTCCAGCAATGCCTGCTAGCAGACGGAACACCAGCAGGGAAGCCATGTCAGGGGCCAAGGCGCAGCCCATGGTCCAGATGACGAACATGAAGTTACACACGTGGTACACGTATAGCCTACCCCAGATCTCGCTGCACGGTGCCAGAAACAGGGGACCCAGGGCGTAGCCAAGGATGTAGATGGAGACAATGAAGCTCGCGATAGTCGTATTCGAGGAGTTAAACTCCTCCATGACCAACGGTGTGGCGGGTGCGACCATCGACGACGCCAGAGGCGTCAAGAATGTCACACTGGAGATGATCGCGACGTTGCTCCATTTCTTCCTCTCGGTCCAGTTCAGCGCTTTCTCGGGGTCGTCGGGTCCGTCCCAGTCCACAATGTTTTCGTCATGGGTGATGGTTGTTTCGCCGGCTGTTTTCTCGTCTGCATCTTGAGCCACATCAACCACGGGGAGGCCGTGTTCTATGTCGGGATCGATGTGTCGTTCGCGTTCTCGTTCAAGTTCTCGTTCTTTCTCGGAAAGCGATGTCGAGTGAGTGCTGGTGTCTGCGCCGTCCCGTTCGAGATTCTTGTCGTCGCCCGGGACAGGTCGCGGCGAGTCTGCCGCCATGTACTCTGAGAGCGCCCATCCTGTCAGTTCACAGTGCAAACCGGTCGCTGAAATGTGCTTGAAGTGTCTGAAGCAGGAGATGTAATGAGAGGCGCACGTACCAACTGGCAGGATTCGAGTCACTAGGAATCTTAGGCACTTTTGCGGGGCCAAGCCTTCCAGATTCGGCGTGTCAGATTCGAATCGGGAGGTCAGCAGGAAGCCCGTAAGCTCGCGAAAACGGGGGTGGAGTGGCTTGCGCAATGATGACAGCTCTCGAATGGAGGAGGCTGAAGGATCGACTGAAGAGAATGCAATATTGCACGGAGAACTACTCCGTATGTACAGAAAGGAAAGAAAGAGACTAGGCAGCAAGAATGGTTTATTTGTTTAACGAACCTCCATGCAGCCAGACGAATGATCTCGGTCGAAGGCTTGATGCGGATTTATGTAGCGCTCAATTGTTGTGCAGCGGACTCTTTGTGCTTCCTCTGACGCCTCCAGCATCTTCGACCGCGGAGCCTCCATGTCAAAGACTCCAAGGCAACTGGTTCTCGCCCTGTTGGGCTGCTCTCCACCAGCCGGCAACGAGATTCCCGGGTGGATCTGCAACAGTTAAAGCCGGTTATGGCCGTTAACAGAGATCAGCTTGCAGACCCCGTGGCAGACCTTCCGTGTTGCTGTCGCTGATCCAGTTTGACGCGGTGCAGAGGCCGATAACGTGATCTGTAGATCCCAGCCAGTGCTATTCGGGATGCCTTCTTTAGGTCAAGAATGAAAGGACCAAGCAAGTACGCGGACGGAGTTATCAGTCAGTCAAGAAGCTGTTGGAGCAGCAGCGAAGAGAGTCTGGCTGCACATTGATTTTGTGCAGCTTGACACAAATTTATGCTGTGAACCCCACATAGAAGCACGCGAGCCTCACCTGGTCAAACGGGACGATGGGACAACGGCTGGCTGGCTGGCCGGCACGGCTGTCTGTACAGGGTTGTACTTGGGTAAATGAGGTACTCCGTGCGGATTACAAACTCTACCCGGACGAGGCCTCCAAAACCGAAGGGCGTTCACTCCGCTGCTGCCGTTTTCGGCGCTGTCTGCAAACTATCGACTGCCGAATAGCCGGGATGGATGGTCTAACGAGGCCGAAAGGGAAGGAATCTCCCGCCGACTGCGTGCTAAGCAATCATTCTTCTCGAACGCGCAAAGAAGGCACTCCTCTATTCTAACATTCCAGTGGCACAGCAGGTGTGGAAGGACTTCTACACCTCTCCCGAGTCAGAGTCCATGACGCTTCAGTTGTGTCAATTACATCACGAAACACACTCGATTCGCGAGTTGACCGGCGCATGTATTGTGTTATCTGGGATGTGTGCATCGCAGTCGACGGCAAGCTCAATCGATAGTGTTTCCTTCATGGTCTTGATCATATCGCCAGCCCAGCGGAATTCTTCTGTCGAGGCTCTAAAAGAAGCAAACACGTCGTTAGCATGCCGTCATCGTACAGAGACCCGCGAGGATAGCGACTTGACTGTACTTACCACCAGCAGCCTCGAATGTTCCATTCAGCAGCCGTCGGATGCTCTGAGCGGAGCTTTGCCCTGGTGCAATCCAGGTCACATTATGTCCCCGAGATTTCATGAATGCGACCGTCTCGTTGTTGTATGCATACTCGAAAGCCACCTGGTTGGGAATGAGTTGGTCGTGTAGCCGAGGCTGCGCCAGTGCTTGGGGTGCCGTCATGTTTTGGTCCAAGACATGCACGAGGCTTTGGATGGTTGCAGTGATGATTCGAGAACCGCCAGCAGCACCGGTGACGTAGTACAGAGTTCCATTAGCAAACTCGGCGATGGTGGGCGAGATCGAAGATAGGGGGCGCTTGCCCGGTCGAATATAGTTGGAAGGGCTGGGTCTGATCGGTCGTCAGCTTTGAAGAGAATGGAAATGCAGGTAACCCCGAGCACAGATGTCACGGAGTACTTACACATAGCCGAACGCGTTCGAAGATCCGGGGATGGAGAAGTCGTTCATTTCATTGTTCATGATCACTCCAGTCTCCGGCACCAGGACTTGTGAGCCGAACAACAAGTTGATAGTCGTAGTGAGAGAGATGGCCATCCCTGATGCATCTGCGGTGACTACGTGAGACGTGCCCGGCGTCTCGAGCGACTCAATGCCACTGGGATCATACGCCGAGACATTGAGAGTATTGTGGTCCGAGATCTTGTTCCGAATGTAGCGTGCCGTCGCTTCTGAGAGCATCTCGTCTTGGTATGCTGACAGGTTCCCGACAAAGGACGGGTCCCCGAGATTGGTTCTCTCTCCGTACCCGAATCTGATAGCTTCGTCCAATCGGTGAGTGCTCAGGTTGAGCAATCCCGCATGATAGAGATCGGGGTACTGCTCCAGAATTTTGAGCACGGACAATGCTACCTCCCCAGAGCTGGGTGCGCTGCAACTGAACAACCGGTAGCCGCGATAGGTGATGTTTGCTGTCTCTCGGATGGCGACGGTGTAATTGCGCAGATCTTCCAAAGTCATGGTCCCGTTCGCCGCCTGTACCGCCGCAATCGTGGCTTCGGCAATGGGTCCATTGTAGAAAACATCCGGCCCTTTGTCCGCAATCGTCTCCAGTGTATCAGCATATCTTTTCCGCGTGATCGTGTCGCCCACTCCCAGAAGAGTGCCATTCGGTGCAAAGTCAATGGCCCAGTTGGGATCATCGACCAGGAAGTTTGGTACTGCCGCAGAGGCCATCCCCGATTTCATGTACCTCACAAGATCCTCGGAAACCTGCCAGCCTTCCCTTGCTGTCTTGATCGCCCCCTGCATGACTCGCTTCCACGGCAGCTTGCCGTAATTCCGATGCAAATGCGCCAGGCCTCTTACTTCTCCTGGTACGCCACTGTTGAGGTTAGCTGGTCGAATTTCCAGCCAGGTCTAAGAACGTACCTAGCCAATCCGCCAAAGATGCTCGCATTAGTGTTGTTGTTGTACATATCCTGGAAGGCGGCAGCAGGCGCCGTCTCGCGGAAGTCGATAACTTCGTAGCTGCCATTTGAACTGCGAACGATCATAAAACCGCCTCCGCCAATGCCGGAATGATAGGATCCAACGATGCCTGTGCAAAAGACGGTGCCAACGAGCTTCAGGACGTTAGACCATGTTCACTCTCATTCATGGACGGGTCGGGTTGACTTGCCGCATCGGCAGCATTTCCACCCTGCCGCAACAGATCGATGCCAATCTCACTGCAGATGGTGCTCTCACTCGCGACCGCGCCAATTGTGCCTGGCGCATCGCTTTGACGCACCGCGGGGAGAGGGTTGGCTCCAGCCTGCTGTAACAGCGGCGGCACAACGAAGGCACACGCCAGCTGTAGGAGCGACAACATGATGAAGGAATGCCCGAGAGCCTTGGTAGCCCACGCAGAGAGTGAAGGGAATGCACCGTTAAAGAGTGACGACGCCATCTTCGCAATTGCAGATCAGTCGCTTGTTAAGCCCGACTAGGAAGCTCTAGAGGAGCAAGAGCGGCCCTTCAATGCAACCAGAAAGCAGGATCCAGTGACCGGCCCTTATCACACTCCCCCTCCAGTCAAGACGTAGCTCTGGCACGCCGGCCCAAAGCGTCGGCACCTGGAAGAGGACGGTGTAGTATCGGACGTTCAATATGACGCAAGGGGACGGTCGGCAGTCCAGTTACGTACTACCTTCTGTTACAAGTACAGTGGGAGCCGAAGCACGCGAGCGCCCGGGCCTTGCATATCACAGCCACTGGTCTTTGGCGTATGTAGGGTATGTGCGCCAAAAGAGTGAAGAATTGTCCAGCCTCACGAGAATTGCAAACAAGATGGAGAATGGTGAAGTCAGACACGGAGTAGACTAAGATGACTTATTGACGGAGTGGAAGTGGTTAAGATCGGTTGCTGACAAGACATAGCGAGACCAGGGAGATGTACTCCATCCACAGTACTGTAGCTATGTACCAACCATATCAGCAGCGACTCGGTACGCCCACCGCCTCCAGAAATTTGCAAGAGATAAAGATTGATAAACACAAAGCTTCCCCAAGCCCACGAGCCCCAATCGCCCCGGTTATCGGCTGGGCTGCGCGGGTATCGGACGGATTTATCCGCGTCTCGGTGAAGAAACGACGCGGTTGACGGAGCTGGCCCTCTCAGTGCAAGGCGGCATCCACGTGATAACGGCCACAGCAGCCTCGCAGTCATGATTCCTCGCAGTCATGATTCCTCGCAGTCATGATTCCTCGCAGTCATGATTCCTCGCAGTCATGATTCCTCGCAGTCATGAT